CGGGCCCGTCCAGCACGGGCGTGTCCGTCAGCCGCGCGAGCAGCTCGGCGATGTAGCCCACGCCGTTGACCGGCCCGAGCGGCTGGCCGTAGCTGTGGGCGGGGGGGTGAGCACCGCGCGCGGCGTGCGCGGGGGAGGGGGCGGCGCGGCTCACCCGGTGTTGTAGTACTTGTCGAGGTCGCCCCAGTACTCGTACCCGCCAAACGCGCCGAGCTCGTCAAAGAGCGTGCACCACTCGCTCAGCTCCTCGTTCGCGACGCTCTCGAACGGGCACAGGTTGATCAGCGCCTGGGTGTCCGTCGACTTGAGGTCTGCGCCGGGGGCGCCGGCGTTGAGTGCCGCGGTGATGTTGGTGGTGTAAATGTCGATCCAGGCCGAAGTCTGGGCAGCGGGCGCAGATGAAGAAGAGAGCGACGGACAGGACGCGTCGTCGAGGGTGTCGTTGCCCTTATATTTACAGGCGCATCAGTGCGGAGATACAGTGTGAGAGACGGCAGACGGACGGTCTCGGAGATGATGACGCTGAGCGTCGGAGTGGCGGCGCCATTGCTTGCCGCGGAGAAGCCTATGTGCACCGATTACCAGCTCGGTGAATAGAGCAGACACGATTCGAGGCCACGCACCGGCGGTCCAGTTCGTGGCGGACTGGACGACGCGCGACGAGTCGGAGGCACGCACAAACGGCAGGTCGGCGGCATTGTTCACGAGGGCGGCATAGCGCTCGTACGCCTGCACGCCCGCATCATACGACCTGGACAAGGAGGTGGAATTGTGAACGAAACGGAAAGTGCCCAGGGCAAGACTCACTCCTGGGCGCCAAAGGGGACGAGGTCGTCTTCGCCGAGGGAGTAGGTAAAGTTGGCGATGAATGCGAGCTGGGGGTCGCTCGTGTTGGCGATGACGGCAGGCTGGATTTTAGCCAGGGCCTTTTCGATGGCCTTTGTTGCGGACTTTGTTGGATAGCGTGCGCCGTGTCTTTGGAGCTGGAAGAGAACGGGTGAGGAAACCGGAAGAGAGGTGGGTTGAACACTTACGATGTTGACCTGGATGAAAATGACGCAGAGTCAGCGAGGGGGCGCAAGAGAGGGATTGGAAATGATGAATGAAGCTGATGCGGTCGATATGACGAAAGCAAGCAACGACAACGAGTGCGATCGGGCGATCGGACCCGTGGCAGCAGCCTCAGCCTCGGACTGTGAGGGTCCTCGCAGCGAGCCGCCGGAGATGGAGACGGCGGTCTCGTGCTCGTCATTCATGAAAGCCGGTGCTCGAGGACGTGACCAGCTCAGAGCACCGCAGGCCATGGGAAGACACTCGCCTGGGTGATCTCACAGCCATCAGGGGGCGGGACATACTCGTCGACGGGATAGTAGGGCGTGTACTGCGCCCAGCTCTCGCTCTGCGTGCCAAAGATTGCTGTCGCGTTCACGCTCGGTGTGGCGAGCCGGGAGGAGGGGTGCGACGCGCCCATGGAGACATAGGCGCAGAGGACATAGATGGACAGCGCAAGAAGGAGGGCGGACGACATCCTTGCGTGGATAGATGGGGGCTCACTCGGCGAGTGCTGAGGGCCAGGGAGGCTCACAGCGACGCCGTTGCGGGGGTGGAATGCGCCGGATTTATAGTCGAGAGGCATGTCGAGAGGGGGAGGGTGCGGTTGTCCGCTGACAAGGGCAGAGAAGGGGAGACCATGCGTTGCGGGTCGCTTGAGCATCAGAGCGGACAGGAAAAGAGAACGGCATGGTGGGAAGGTCGACGCACGGGCACAGTGCAGATTGAATGAATGGCCGCTGCGGGTGAGGAACACGTTCGTCAAAACCCGCCCCGCGCACCCACCCAATCGCCGGTCCCTCCCAAAGTCTATCCACGGCACAACGCTAGACATTCAGGCCACCGCCCAAGTCCGTCGTAGCCAGTGTCCTCGAGCTCGACGGCACCACCGAGTCGCTGCGAGCAGGCGAGTGGCTGCTGCACCGGCGCGGAACTCCGCATCACACTCCGCCGATCTGGATCCATCAGCGACCTGGATTACCGACGCTCGGCACGGCAACGGCTTGATACTAACTCCCCTCCTCCTCCCCCTCCTCCTCCGCTCTGACCTGATGTCTCTCCACTTTGACGCTCTTGTGTCTCGGGCGACTGCGTCCAGAACTACTTGCTTGCTCACCCACACCCGCTCGTCAAGAGCGCATTCCACCATTTGCGCTTCACGTGCGAGTGTCATTGATTCCAGTCTTTCTGATTCCATGCCGTACAGCAGCTTTCAATACCTCGTCGCACGTCGACAGCAAATATAAATCACAGAAGCGCGAACCGTGTCGAGTAGAATCAGCTCCGTCTTTGCTCCAGACTCGTAAACCCAACTTCTCCACAATCAGCCTTGGCATCTCTCTAACCCCCCACCGTCGCGCACGCAACCAAGAACGCTCGTTGCCCTGCTGCCCATGTGCCTCTCCCCCCCCCTCCCCCCGGCCCGTGCGGGGACCACAACACTCGCAGACGATGCCACGCTGCTGTGGTTTTCCCGCCGCCCACGTCGCCCGGCCCCCTCCCTGCCCAGACGCCTCGCACACCAACGGCCGCCGCCCTGCCAGCTCACGCTGCGTCCCCATCCTCCGTCTTCAGCGCCGCAGCGAGCATGTCGTACACAAACGCCACCTGCTCCGCCCTCTCCACCATCCCCGGCCGCTGCTCCCGCAGCATGTCGATCTCCTGTGCCACCAGGTCATCCTGCAGCGCCTCGGGGAGCGCGCCCAACGGAGACCGCGGCAGGGCCTGCCTCTCCGAACCTTCCGCCTCCGCCGATGCGCGCGCGAGCAGCCCGTGTGCGCGCAAGAGCGACGCAAGCGCGATAAACGTGCCTGTGCGTCCGACGCCCGCCGAGCAGTGCAGCAGAACCGGCGCGTCCGCGTCGCCCGCCCGGTTCGTCTCGTCTACAAGACGGACGAAGCGCAGGAGCCGCCCCCGGTCCGCCCCACGGGGCACGCCTTGGTCGGGCCACGCGCAGAACAATAGGTGCTCAAAGACGACCGCCGCGGACGGCGACAGTGTCTCCGGGACGACAGACACGGTGCTCTGCACGCACTGCGCGTCGGCGTGGCCCACCGTCCGCAGGAGAGTGACCGTGAGCGCGGGCGCGGTGCATCCCTCTTCGGGCGGGACTGTGAACGTCTGGCCGTCCCCCGTCGGAAAGTACGTGTGCGCCTTTTGTATCCCCCGCTCCACGTTCTGCGTCAGCTGCACGACCGTCCGTATCCGCCCCATCTCCGTCCGGGCCACCGCGTAGGGGTGCGCGGGGGTGTGGATGATCGTGCTGAGGAACGCATGTGCCGTCTGCGGCAGCGGCGCCTGTGCCGCGATCCACCACTTGCCCCCCGCCCGCTCGCGCACCCAGTTCGCGTTCAAGTATCTTCCCTGCGACAGAGAAGAGTCTGCAGCCGCATCCCCCGTCTCCGCCGCGCCGTACGAGACGACCACGCGCGTGCGGTCGTATGGCGCTATGTCGATGTACCGGTTGTACTCCTCATTTTCCTTGCTGCAGCCCGCAGAGACGGAGTAGTAATCGGCCAGATCGCCCTTTTCTTCCCCTGTCGGCAGCGTTTGGGTCAGCCGCTCCACGATGGACTTGGAAGAACGCTTGTAGGACGTGGTGCGAGCGCGGGCGCGGGCGCGTTCGCGCTGGGCGAGGATGTCGAGCACATTAACGAGGTGTTCTGGAGACCGGCAGGACATGAGCCAGTCCGGTATAGGTGATGCGTCAGTCATGATGGTAGGAAACAATCCTAGATATCGCCGTCTCACTCTCAATTCACTCTCGATGACATATCACGTGCAGTCAATTCATCACCATGAACTCCGGCAAGCCCGAAGCAGTCCTTCTGCATGCACCCTCCTGAACGGGCATGTCAGCATTCAAAATGCATCCACGATACAGATCTCGACCTAGAACGGTGCCTAATTAGATCCATAGCCAAGTATAGGCTCAGCTGTACTATGTAGGAGCGGAGGCTCTGATCGTGAACGCTTGATAATGTCTCGAGGTCTCATGTGAGTAGGTTTCAGAGATAGGCGCACAACTGAACACAAAAGGGTGACCTTCGTCGACGAGTCTCCCCAGCCCTCAGTTGATCTGTGCGCCCACTCCCCAAGCTCAGGTACCGGATAGTGAGTCCCGTGCCACACCGTATTTCTTCGCAAGTCGCTGAAATACACGTCGTAGCCTGACTTGTGTCCGTCGTTCACGGTCCAGACAATCTACACCCCTCACGACTATCGTAATGCGTGCCTCGACGGTCGTTGCGTTGGTGTCTCTTGCCTACGTCCCCGCCCTCGTCGTGTGAGTCTGCCTTCGTGTCCGCCCCGTTAGAGAGACCTCATCGCCTTGGAAATTGCAGAGCTGCTCGCCCACCTCCCATAGGGTATCAGAGGATCAGCCCTTATCGAGTGGCGGCTCCTCCTCCCCTGATGGCTTCTCGCCCCCCCGCACGTAAGCCACCAGCCCGGGGAGGCTTACCCTCAGCACCTCCTTCTAAAGGATATTACTCGGATCCACCTCCGCCGTATTCAGAACTTCCACCGTATAGTGCTCGTTCCCTTTTGGTGCGCGCGTTGCTTGACGAGCTGGACTGAGGAGTGCGTGGGTATTGGGGTATCATGCAGCGTGTAGACTGTTCGTGTTCGACGAATAAGCTCGATGTTCTGTTGGCTCGTCCTTAGCGATTGTCCCGAGCGCAACAAAGGCCGCGCATACGAGAAACAGTTTCCGGTGGGACTCCGTCGATCGTTGTTGAGCGCTGTGACCCGGGGACGATAGGCAATTGCCCATAACATCAGCTCGTCCTACCGCACCACGCTCTGTATACTATTGTCAGCTGGTGGCAGGGACTACGAATCGGCGGCGACGGCAGCGACTGCAGTTCACTATCGGCACTTCCTCAGTGGTAGCACGTCTGTTGTAGGACTCGCATGATTTTCGTGATTGAAAATGAGAATAAATACATAACACGTTCCTCAGCATTCCTACAGGCGCGGTACATCCACTTACTTCATCGCCTCTCTTTCTTCCAGCGCCTTGCTGACCGCCTCTCTTGCAATCACAGCGCTATGCCACCTGCGGACACAGAATCAGTCATGTTCCGCTACACCATGTCCGACGACGCTTGCCTGTGCACAGCCGGGAAGTCCCTCGCAAAGTCAAAGCCGTTGTAGTGCGAGATGTAGTTCTCCAGCGCGTAGATGTTCCATCTGCGCAAAGATGAGCGGACGCACTAGGCATCGCGGGCCCGACTCACGGGATGAACGCAAAGTCCGCGATCGTGCACTTCCCGCCGACGAGCCACGCCTGCTGCGACAGCACCCCCTCCAGGACGCCGAACACGCGCAGCGTCTCCTTTTGATATCTCTCGATGGCGCTCGGCAGCTTCTCCGGGTGGAACATGCTGAACCATCCCGCCTGTCCGAAGTACGGCCTGCGCGCGGGGGATGTAAGCGTCAGCTGCCGTGTCCTGGCAGGCGGCCCAGTACTGACCCTTGGCCGGAGGCTTGGAAGAAGAGCCATTGGAGCTGCAGAATCTTCTCGCCCGCGTCGCTGACGGAAATCGTGTGCGAGGTATCGTACTTCTCCACAAGGTAGGTCATGATCGCGCAGGACTCCCTGGAGGCGCAGGCATGAATCTCGCAAGGCACCATCATCGCACCGGATAATCGTACCAGACGACAAAATCATCGTTCTTGTGGTCGATGAGCGTAGGGATCCGGCCGTTGGGGTTGTGCGTGACGTGCTCGGGGGACTTCTGCTCGTTCTTCATCAGGTCGAGGTAAATCGGCTCAAAGTCCAGGCCGAGTTCCCGCAGCACGAAAATGACCTTCCTGCCAGCTAATGGAATCAAGTCAGACAAATGCAGTCACGAGCTGTCACTGACCAGCCGTTTGGCCAGATGGAAGCGGTGAAGAGCGTGAAGTGCTTTCCGTGGGACATGGCTCCCTAGGGCCAAAACCGAGGGGGAAGAAACGTTGAGCGCGTGTGTACCCAGGCTCGCGCCTTTTGTACGTTCGCCAGTGGGGGTGGATGCCCTGGGGTAAGATCCCACTCTTCAGGCAACACATGCTCGTGCTCCGGCAGGTTGCGCCTCTCGCGAATTCTTGGCTGCGTACTCGTTCCCTCCCCCGCTCAATGTGATGGACGTCAATGTATGGCAATGTCGTACCTTCGCTAAATAAGAGTACCGTACTCACCCCTTGCCGATCTGCGACGAGAGAGCAATAAACAAATTCTAGCAAAAACGTGCCTGTATCGCAGTGGATTGTCCGGCGGGCACATAGAATCTCCAACGCATATGTTGTCAGTAGTATATCTAGTCTGCGGCATCCAGTAGACGTCGGGCCTACTACCCCAGACCGCGCCGATCTCGGAACGGCACTTACTCTGGTCCGACACCTATCTTCGCTGCAGCAAAAGCACGCGTTCGGGGTGTTCGAGTCAGAGCAAAGAAGTAATACGCAAATCAGACACAGTCAAATGCGTCATGGTGAGGCGGTCGCTCAAGAAGAGGGCAGCGCCTGGTCGTTTTACACAAAGGCTTTAACAGACTTCGCAAGAACGAAAATACATCACATCGAGTCAAGAGCAACAAAAAAGAAAGCGTAGTCATGATAAAGATACCGTCGATGGGTATGTTGGCAGCTGTGAAAGTGAAGTTGAGCGGAGACGCTGACGTGGGGGATGTGGCTGATGCTCCGGGAGATCCCCTCCGCAGATTGAATTTCAAATGGAAATCATCGTCCTGTTGTCTGCAGTAATACTTATGGGTTTTCTTGTATACGCGGAACGGCGACACATCCCCACGTCATGGCAGCTCGACTGGTCAGGAATCGAAGCTCACAACAAGAGAAATCAAGTGTTTCATCACTAGTTCAATTTTATGGCGAGGCATGCAGTATGGCCGGAAACCAAGCGCACAGAATCCAAGGGAATGTACTAGACGTTTGGAGTTGGAGGGCAGTTCAAGCTTCAATGAAGAGCGCTGTCACGCCCGCAGGGTCGGACGCGCGTAATCACAACCATGTGGCTCGTAACGCGCTCGCGGCTCTAGCAATTGAGGTACACTGGACGTAACGGGCTAACTCGTCTCTACTGGGAGAATTGAAACATTGACATAACATTGACACATCCGCAAAAAGAACAGTACACAGAATGCCAGCGACTCGCATATCGAAGCGTTTGCACCGCCTCATGTTGTCATGCAAATATTCTCGTTCCACTTCTACTTCGCAGCGGTCAACGCTTCCTTCTCAGCAAGAGCGTCGCTAACTGCCTTCCGGGAGAGTATAGCATTGTGCCATCTAAGGAGAATCTTTATATTGAACAGACCTCCTAAATGGATATTGACTCACTTGTATACTGCCGGGAAATCCTTCTCGAAGTTGAAGCCTTCGTAGCTTTCAACCAAACTCTCCACCCTAGTATTCCACCTGTCATATAATTGTCATGCGTCAATATGAGCATCAGCACGATGATAGGCCAACTAACGGGATGAAGGACAAATCTGCGATAGTGTATTTACCGCCCACGAGCCACTCTTGCTTAGAGAGCACACTCTCCAGGACTCCGAGAACGCGGATTACTTCCTTCTGGTATCTCTCGATGGCGCTTGGAATTTTCTCAGAGTGAAATAACTGGAAGGTAACGACCTGTCCAAAGTACGGGCTTTGAAGGAAGGATGAGCACAAATTTGTCCATACAAAAATGAGCGTCACAGACCCTTGTCCAGAGGCCTGGAAGAAAAGCCACTGGAGCTGGGTGATCTTCTCGCCGGCATCGACGGGGGATATTTTGTGCGTCGGGTCGTATTTCTCTACGAGATAAACTAGGATCGCGCAAGACTCCCTAGCGGCTCCATCCGTTAGCCCTTGTCCCTATCTCGACATCGCAAAGCTCTCACCACACGACAAAGTCGTTATTGCCATGGTCGATCAGCGCAGGGATGCGGCCGTTAGGGTTGTACTTGGTGAATCCAGGCGCCTTCTGTTCGCCTTTGACGAGGTCGAGATAAATCGTTTCATACTCCAAGCCCAGTTCCTTCAGCACAAATACGACTTTCCTGCAGAAAGAGCAGGGGCCATCAGTACATAGATTTGGGACGAGGACAATGGCGACAAAAGCGAACTCTCACCAGCCATTCGGCCCACCCGTATGAGAGTAAAGGGTGAATTGCTTTCCGTGAGACATGACGGCGTGCTTGTAAAATGCAGTAAGAGGATGAGGGGATGGATCTCCCTTGTTCAGCAAAATCCCTTCTTTTATATCCGGGAGAGCGTCCACTGACGCCTGGTGTGCTGGCCAATAAATGAGTAATCAATGTCAATGATAGCTAGATATGTCAGCATCAAAGAGCTAGAAGAACCGCGACACGAAGGAACTATGCTTACACAGCAGAGTGTCATTACGTGCCCTAAGTACAATGCAGGCATTTTGGCCGACAGTCAGTTGTACGTTGCCTGCTTTGTCATCTACAAATCTCAGTCGCGGTTATTTTGGATCCTGATCGCTTAACCAGCATATTGCCCGTTCGTAAACCTCGACAAGTCTGATTTAGACCTTGCTGCGCTCAAACCGCGGTTTGGTTGTCGTATGTCGGACGCTCAAAGGGGTTCTACCGTGGCTGACAAAATCTATAAATGAGAAACAGGTCGTGTTTTGAGAGCAATGTTTGCGAGGGCATGTATATTACTAAATGCAACAAAAAAGCTATAGAATACTGCAACACAATTAAAACACAAAGGCGCACTGCTTCAATTCGGGCCAACAAACTGGTAAAGTATCCGTCGAACGAGCCCAGATAGATGCTGAGGGTCGTGCTAGATATAACGTTGCGATTAAAACATCAAACACTAAGCCGAGTTGAAACCTGATGACTTACTTGATATATGCTCTACAATGGTGTCATCCAGCAGTCAGATATCCACTCAAAAGATGAATGGCAGAAATAGCACATACCATCACCATACCCATACCCACCGAAGTCAGCTGCAATATGTGGACTGAATGAGACTGCAGCCAGACGCCGAAAATCGGATGCACACACCAGGACTTCTCCCCATCGCCCCGTACGCCCGACCCAACCACGGCCACGGGCTGTGAGCCAAGCGCTTTCGAGGCCTTTCGGAAGCACGTACATCGCGAGCTCCTCTCGCCTCCGCTTTTCTTCGACGAACAATGACAGCCCAGCAAGGATCCCGTAAACGTAGTAGCTCTTCCGCGCGACAAGCGCGTTTACAAGTGGCAACGGCAGGAGCTTGGCGAGCGATGAAAGGAATGAGGGAGAGACGGATTTCCGCAGCGCGATGAGATCATTGTACAGGTTGTGATTTAGGCAAAAGCAGGCTGCAAGAAGTGAGTAAAGATAGCCGCACTAGTAGCCAAGACAAGACACACATTGGTATATTAGTACAAAGACGCCCAAGAATGCCGAACTTCTCGCAGAACCAAGGGCTGCGCGCAGTAGCATACGCAAAGGATCACGGAATACGCGCTGTCTGCGAAAGAGCAGCATTGGAATGAAGTGTAGAGCCCCGTAGATGGGCAGCATCCATCGAAAGACGGACACCAGTCGGTCCAATTGTGTGAGCGTACAAGAATCAAACCAGGGATGCAACGCTGAACACGGCACAAAGGGAGGTCCGAAGTACTGCTCCGGCGGAGGTGCTGACGCAAGTGCAACGCGAGATAACATGTCTGCGCGCGCAAGCGGTGTGACACTCTGTATCCGATTAGCTGCTATAAACTTCAGACTTGTTGCCAAAAACTCACATCTGTAGCAAGGAGCTTTTGCATGTCCTGCACTTTGAATACCCCGTCGCGCACCAAATCTCTGTGGATCGCAAGTGTCTCAAGGTGTACTTTACTCGCACTTGCAATCCTAGAAGATGTCGTATCAAAATCTCACATGCCCTGTGTAAGGAGCACACAACAGACACACCATGTATCGTAAGACCTTGGCAGCGTTTCTGGACGAAAAAACCACGCATACATGATTTGGCCACAGCTGAAAGAGCGAGTCAGATATGGACCAGAAAAATTCAAGAAGATGTACCTAAGTGAGAACACAAGCACGTCTCCGTGTGGGATACGGAATCCATGTTTGGAAGAAAGCGCATTACACGACCCTTGGAGGCCTCTATGAAAGACAAACAGCTTGTCAGATGCCATACTTACAATTCCCGAGTATCGGGCACACCTAACAAAAAGTTGTTGTGCGATTGCTACGCGCCGACCACGCTTCTCAAACATGATAGCTATAGCTCCGGCGAGCGCACCGGCTAAAATGGCATGCCACTGGCGCGTGCGCCTCCACACCCATACCTGATGCGCCTGTGCGCTCATCGATAGTCGCGCATGGCGGGAGCCGCGGAGTACCTCCGGCGTAGCCATCTCAATGTCCTCGGACAGGCTCTCATCAAGCTCTTCGCCAGAAAATGGCGAGTCGAATGGAGATGCATAAGCCGATGGGCGGAGTGACGCTTGGAGAAGGGTGCGTGATCGGGTATGATGCGTGCTGGAACGTCGTACTGGGGGCGAGGAATGGGGGAGGAGCACAGGGAGGGCGTTCAGGATGAACTTGTAGACGGCGACAAAGGACCCTAGGGTACAGGGTCGTAGTGACTATATCTGACTGCAAAGGTGCACATACCAAGCATTGCTGCGAAACGAAACGAGTCTGGTCCAAATGCAGCATGGCGGATGAGCGCAAAGCGGTGGTCCCTGGCATGGTCGTCGATTCAGAACGCTCAATCATATGGATACACGACTGACCTCGGGATCTTTTTTATCCTCGTCAGGAGTAGGATCAAGTTTACGCCCGCGCGAATGGCAAAGGCAAGCCCTCCCGACCCTGCCAATATGGATGTGAGGACTGAACCACGATCTGACGAGAACCAAACCACGCACTCAATCCGCCTTTTGCTGCATGCAGAAAGCACTCGCGTACGTCGACAAGCTCGACTGGCTTCTCTCCGCGGTCGCGCCAAACTATCTTTCGCGCTTCCCGAAGCCGCTCTTCGTAATTCGCCAACACCACCAAATTCTCAAAGGAGGCCATGGCGCGTTTCGGGGCAAATTGGATGAAAGAAGGGGTTCGCTGAAGACTTGCATTGCTGGCTGTGAGTTCGCCATCGCGAGTGGGTATCGACATGGTCAGAAGATCATAAAGACAAAGGATGGGGCGGATATAAGACGGAGTGGGGTTAGACGCGGGAGCCGGGCTCAGGGACGGAAACAAAAACTCTCTGGCGGGGAGTCGAACCCCGCTTTCGCGCGCAGTGAGCAACTGACAAGCGCGTGTACTAACCGATATACTACCAGAGACTTGTACTAGAGCTCAACCCAGCTGATAAGTGGTTAATGTTAGATCTTATAGAACGTACACTGTACAGTGACACACCGACCGTGGCGTCAGTCGACACTAGAACTACGTCCTCATCCTCAGTGTACACGGAACACGCACACCTAGTAAGGACGATCTTCAGGTAGTCGCATTTCAATCTGAGGATATACTGTACATGAATGAGTATACTGTTTGCAACTCTCGAAATCCTGACATGCATATACTGACTCATATATTTGCATCAGAATTAGCACTACTCGCTCTTTGATCGTCAAATCCTAGCCATTCATCCATTTTAACCCATAGCAGCTCCTTCCGCTGCTTCAACCTCTGTCTCAGCGATTCCGTGCAGCCTATGCAGAACCCATAGGCTTCCCAATCCAATGAGATCAACTTATCCAGTGCCCCTAGGACGTCGAGCACAGCAAGCCGACTGATATTTTCGGTACTGATAATCTTGAACCAGATGGCTGATATCTGTACCGTCCTCGCTCTCCTACAGGTGACTGCCGCGTCGCTGCGCTTAGGCTTCTCGCTTTCGGATGGAAGCAGGAGACAATTTCCTTGGCGCAGCCCCACAACAGAGAGCAATTAGATCCCATTCGAATTGTAGACCCTCGCAAGCCTGTAAAAGACGTTCAAAGTGCGCCACGGTGAGTAGGTTGCTTCCATTCGAATCTACCGGAACGTCAATAGGCACGGTATCCACACAGAGGTCGGCACCATCTTTATCCTGTTTCATCCTGAACAAGGGCGCACGAATCAGTTCATAATATGCTGACTTGAGTACGCTGTGTATATTGCACAGTTCCGCGAGGATAATTGTCTCGGCAGCATACGGCTTCCGCTTTGAAGTAACGTCCGACACATCCGCAGGCCACATGGCCTCTAACCAGCGCGAAGCTCCTTTGAGAATATGTTCGCAAGAAAGTGAATGTGCGGCACGAATGATTGATGCTAGCTTTTCAAACGGAGGCGTTTCTTGTACGTAGTTCCTGGAAGATCATTCATTACACTTTCATTCAGTTGATAGCATTAGACTCACCAGACGCTGTCCAGGATGCACAACAAACTTGCGAAATCTTCGGGCGAGATGTTCGTAAGAAAAGTACACAGGACAACTTTCCACCACCTCTCCCTTGAAGCGGCATGTGGCCTCACGTCCTGGAGCTTGTTTTCTCGCGGTGTTCAAGCTGGGACTCTGACCGTTGGCGCGACGTCCATCTCCCGCAATCAATGACTCAAAGAGTGGTGCGATTGGTGCCAATTTAGAGCTGTGGACCCGGAACAATGTGTCCTTCGCCTGCAGGACGACAGAACCGTCGACAAGCCAGAAATCGGGGTGGCGAATGCAGCCATCGACTTGCTCTCGCAAAAGCATAGGTGAAGCAAGTCTGGGCGTGGTTGATACAGGTCTCCGTACATCCAGAGCTGGAGATATGGTCATGTTTTCAATACTCAGCGATGAGTCCTTCTGTACTATAGTGTTGGGCATTATCTGAGTCGGCCCATTTGCCCGAAGAAGAATGGCGGATGCGGCTTGGTCCGCAATCATTTGTGGAGTGTACTGCCTGTGGGCTTCTGGGATTGCTGCTGTGTTTGGGGACACTGGAGAGACGTTAACTGAAGGTTGATTTGCTTACCAAATTTGTGCTAGACTGCTCACCTGTGATTGATCCCCGTAAAGAACCAGCCGGCTGCGATGGCGAATGACTCCCATCGGAGGAAGGATGCATCAGATAATTCTTCGACCCTTGAGCGAAAATCTCGACTGTATGTGTCCCAGCCCGAACGCACAGGTCAGTCCGCTTTGGCGCATGGATTGGCGCATCTCGATCTTTAACGGATGATAGGAAAGGCCTGGCGGCTATCGAGCCCTCTGTGGCCAAAATGTTCTTCTCCGATGGCATAGCATTGGATACTGCATTGGGAGCAGGAGGTTGGCGCACATTCTGAGGGACAACAGTTGGTTCCGTCATTGGACTATGAGGAGTTACCGCTGCCGGTGCGATTGAAGACGAAGCAGCGTTGCTGTGCCTGGGGCGCTTCGCTTCCCTTTCCTGCAGTGTATCCACCCCGTCGTCGTTGGCTGTCGAAGGGACGCGCTTTTAATAGTTATTGACAGGGTGCTTGGCGGTCTTTTCGACAGTTGTAGTCATGGTCATGGATGACGACTACACAGGCGATGCGATGCTGGAGGTCTGTGCGACTAACGGCGACGCTTGTCGTGACCGCTTACGGGGGTCTGAAGATCGCTCCTGCAGCGAGGAATGTATCTGTGACGCCCGATCGCGGATATGAGATTGCGCTTGTGGGACCTGGTTGACGTGAAGATGCCCCTGTGAGGACGAGATGGATGTCCGCTTTAAGACAGGGGAGCAGGGAGAAGGGTCACTGGGGGAGAGGGAAACTCGATGTCGAATTTGCTCCTTTACCCGGCCAACAAACTCGCGAGGAGTCGCCGTGGATGGAAGGACCGTTCTGGGCGCTTGAAAACTCGTCGAAATCAATGGATGAGAAAATATGGGAGAAGCTGTGGGAAGAGCAGACACCGAAGCAGAATTTGTCTTCCGGTTGATGCCGCTGTTGATGGTCTTCTGAGATATAAAGCTTCCGTAAGAGCTGTTTTCAGGCGAGAGTACTCTGTTTTTCTTGAATGAAGGGAACTGAGTCTTCGCATTTCTTTCCTTAGAATAAACGGATGGATCAGACTTGTGTCTGAGCGGAGAATTATCGATTGAAAATTTCGTTGTTTCGTTCGGATTCCTGGTACTAATCAACACGCATACAATGAGTTCTTGTCAAGCTAAATGTCGAAAGACATCCGAGATGGTCGCTCGTGGCCGATCGTGTGAACTTGATGGGCCTTCCCATATCGCGGCGTCGAGGAGATGACCGCTTATACGACGACCAAGCCGACTGTGAGCCAAGCTTACCTTCGTCACACGCCCTGACCTCTCCTCATAATAGCTGTCATCATCCGCGTGGCGCTTGGAAATTCAGCATGACAAACAAGCGTGCATGATGGAGGCAACTTACATGCTTAGAACCAGACTCGCATTTCGGGTCTGTGTGATGTTAGACAATCTCGGCAATAGACAAAGTATCGTAATCTTTCCCCAAGTGTTTGTCTTCCCAGCGCTTACGTAGACTACGGAATCCGCTAATAGTGGCCCAGCTCAGCCCGCAAATTGCCACCCGAAGATAGCGATTGCAAAAAAAGGATGCTCCATATCAAAATCGTCGTCGTCGTGTCGCCATTTTGTCCAGCGGTCATTAGACGCACAAAAGTGGATAGACTGAGAATGCAGACTTGTATTGATCCAAATGTCTCCATTGAAGCTCCGGTCAAGGTCATCCGGAGGCTCTCCCTCGCAAAATATGTAGAAGCAGCTGTAGTGCTTCCCCTCGTCTTGAAGACGATGCTCCAACGAAGCCGTGATACACGCGATTTCTTTTTCCGTGAGCAGCGTTGGCCTGGACTGCTTTACGAGTCGCAACCCCGTGCGATCAAGTGCGCGAGTGTCCTTTAAATCTAAAAATATAGGTATAAGTCTGATCCCGCAATCGGATGATAGCTACATACTCCCTTTGGAATATGGAATATCTTCCAAAGCCCGCCAGGCCATGGTATCGAGATATAGCGGTGGAGGTGATAGCAGGATAATTGGAAGAGAGGATGGTGGAACGGGAGGCTGTTTTACCTGCATGTCGCGGGGCACTAGATACAGAAACAGGCCGGCGGTGCGATCATGCCCCTGAGGCTGGCTCGGATCCGGATTCAAAAACTGAGCTATTCGGTGTTGCTCTTGTTTGAAAATAATTCCTGGAGAAACACACTCCATCTGTAATATGATCTAGCCAGTTTGCGTCACTGTTTTCGTCAAGTTCTTCTAAACCCGAGCACTAGTCAGGACTCCGGGGCTCCAAGTCGACTCCTAACCTGAGGACAGGTGCTGCTCACGTGAATCAGACTAAAATCTCCCATCACGTGATATCGATCGCGCGACGGCGTTGTTGTGTTGTATTTGGAGAGCGGCGCTCTCGCGCGCACACCGTTGGACTCGCTTCAGCAACGCCATTCGAGCTCGTCGTCGCCGGCGACCTCTGTACATTATGCACGCTGCGGACGGACCAGTGTTGGAGCTTTCCGATATCATGCACACTATGTCTCCCTCTCCTGCACCCCAGCCTCCTCTACCTGCCAGCTCTAGCAACTTACTTCGTTTTGATGGAGATCTTTCACTCGTGCCAAACGGAAACGGAATCCTGCCGGAACACCTACAAGATTCCAATTCCATATCTGAACCTTTGGAAAGCAGTGAGCTGGACAGTATGCGCGCAAGGCTGCATCAGCTAGGCCTGGCAAGCCCTCGTTCTACCAATCCCGGTGCTACACTTGTCGAACGTGAGCTCGCGGGCATGGTTCGTCAGGGACTATTCATAATTTCAACTGTCCTCATTCCACACTTTTAGGTCTTACGTCTAGCTTCGAATTCCGTTCTCCACCCGTCACCTACCCAACTCGCGTTACAAGCCGAGACTATTGCCGAATTAACCTCCCAGCGCGATCTCCTCATACAAGAAAGGGAGGAGCAGCGGCTGCGTTGGGAAGTCGAACGTCAAGGCTGGGAGAGAAGCGCGGAGGCCTTACTTGGCAAACGGCGTACTGCTGGTGATGCCGCAGAAAGAGACTACGTGAGTGAATAATGCATATATCGTTGCTAGTAGGTTTGTGTTGCGCCTTCATCACCGTTACGTACACCTTTTCCCCGTTTGTTTAGTCTTTTCCTCATTCATTCATCTATCAGCCATAATACAACCAACAGATCTAACCATTCATACGCAGGACTCAGACCGCTTGGTAGCTCGTCTCAGGGACGAAAATGGGACCCTGCGACATAAGGTTCGCCTTCAATTTTCTTTATGTCCGGTTTCACTAATTCAGAAATGTGATCACATATTGTTTCTGTAATTTAACTTGCTGTCGGGCGCTGAAACACATCCGAATGTCCACTCGCAGCTGACCAACGTGAACATACGCATGTCCACTCTTGTCTCTGAGCTTTCTCGACTTCGTCCCCTCCTGTTGTTGCAACCTTCTATCTTGCGGGACCCGGCGCTGCTCCAGCATCCGGCTTTTGGGCATCTGGGTTCCTCCAAGGAGCGAGCTTACATAAAGAGAAGAAAATCCAAGAAAGACAAAGATGGAAAGCGAGATAAGGACAAAGACATCCTGGTTGTCCCTCCTATCCAAATTGAACAGGAGCTAGAAGGTGATGCGGATGCCGACGGCGAAATTGACCTGGATCTCGTTACCAACATTTCTACCGGTGAACACGCTGACACTGCAGTGTCCATGGACATGACCACGAAGCACATGTCTACTAGAACCTCTCGCTTGGATTCCTCTGGCCGAACTCAGTCTTCCATAGATGATGGTAGAGATCTTTTCGGTCCCGCTCAATCAGCGGGATCTCAGCAGCACCCCAAATCTGCCGTCCCTAAACCCGAGGAAAGGCTAGATAAGAAAATCAAGGATAGAAAAGGCCGCAACAAAATGTTGGATGATCGTGCGCCCATTCTGTCTGATGCACGCGCAGAGTGCTTGTTATTTGCCGCGCGAAAGATTGGGCGCGCCCGTTCCGGGGTTATCGCTAGATTAGTAAAAGAACGAGAGGAGCGTACGCGACAAGAACGAGAACGCGAAAAGGTCAAAAAGGCTGCTGACACAGTGGCCACAAAGAAAGGAACCACAATCGGACACGAGGGAACGCATGCTTTTGATATCGGAATGTCGTCTACAGATCCTTACTGGATGCATGATCCGGAGAATCAGCCCGGGCCTTCAAATTATTCCTATCCCGTCGCTGACCAGTCGACACCACGGACAATTCCTATATCACGCCATTCTACGTCAGCGACAGGTATGCACCTTCGAGGCACTCATCTCACGTCGCACATCCACCCGCCTGTACAATCACCTTCGCAACCTACCATAGCTCACATTCTTTCGCCTCAGACACGTATAATGCCTTATGGGCTATCTCGTCAAGGTGGAGCTCATGCGTCGGCATCTGGTGCAATAAGTCCCCCAGCTGGACTTGCGATTGTAGGATCATCTTCAGGTAGTTCTTCAATTCTTCCGATAACAGCTGCATGGCCCGCACCGAGCACCCCGACTGGCAATCGACAGGGAATCGGGCCTGGGAAAAGTTCAACACCCGTGCGTGGCAGCGCGGTGCCCGCAAATACCCCTGCAACGCCATTAGACTCATTGCTGAGTGCCGCGCGGACACTCATGATCGAGAATGACGACGACGATGACGACAATATCAGGGCAGAAATCCACGAGACTACATCATTGAGTAGTAGCACTAGGAGACGCACGTCTACTGTTGCTTCCTTAGAAAGTCCGGTTCCGAAGAAACGAAGAATAGCCGCTAATGCGTCGTTTCCCGGGGCAAGCACATCAGGGACTGGCCCTCGGACACGGAGGCAGACGAAGGCCGCTGCGAGCTTGCAGCAACCACAAACTATGAAATTGGAAAAGGGAAAACAGAAACAAACGGTGGTAGCAGGCAAAGGAAAACAAAAGGAAGTCGCTCCTGCGCCCATCGCCCTGACGAGAGTGCGAAGCGCACTGGACGTGCTCGCGGACCAGGCAGCACAGGAGCAAGAGAGACGGCCCTCGGCTGGGCCTGCTAGTCGACAAGAGAGCATTGAGCCTGACAAGAGGAAGTCCGCATCCTCTATTGCAGTCGCCGTAAGACGACATAACTCGATCGGAACTGAGCCGGCTGCATCTCCTAAAAGTTCAGGGCGGCGTTCACCAAGCTTTCATCCTACATTTTCCCATTCTCCTGATAGGTCATTTGATCAGACTCAGAATTGCTGTCTGCAAGATCCTCCCGCCCAAGATCAACCCAACACGAGTGCCTCTGGGCTCACAATAGGCGAGCAGTCGCGCGAGGTGCATATTACATCAGATCAGCCAGGCGAGGCAGGCGGACGACAGCGGGACTCCGAGACACAGGCCGTATCGTCGATAATATTGCAGTCTGGTGCTATCTCTGGGACCCATCTGCCGCTGGATTCCTCATCGTTAGTCGAGCGATCGGCCACTCTTAGTCAGTTGACTGAAGATCGTACTATGGAGGCAGACGAACGACCGTCGCAGCCGACATTGATCAACAACTTTGTTCCTCCGCAAGGAGATGCCCATACTAGCCATATGGACGTGTCTGTGGGCTAACAAGGTACAACCTGTCGTGCTTAGCGGGAATGCCTTGATCTTACATCTGTTTCAACCAGGCCAGATCATGTTCTTATAATTCAGCGACAGGCGGAATCGGCTCTCGCCGTATGCATGTGCTGTCGTCGCGGAGCATCCCTTCCCGATGAATATGACGCGTTCCCTTGCAAGGCTATCGCTTCCCAAGAATTGAGTATCTGCTCAATCGATCCCGATAACCATGCCGTAGCACTAGGTTCTGCACTCCGTAACGTGGGGTAAGCATCTAAAGCCCACCATGGGCTTCACAGGCATGATTACTATGGCTGGCACAGTAAACTTACACTCTCATGACGAAAAAGCTTACCACATCTGAGTACGGTAAATATACAGTATTCGCGGTCGGCTTTTGTGTATTAATGACAGTTTTTGTGCTGATTATCTACGATAAAATATGAGTGTAAGATCTATGTACATTATGCGAACTTACTTGTATCATGACTAGGTATCTAACAACGCTATCTATGGATCATGTATGGCGTGTTGCGATACACGGAATCACCCTCGGCTTCGTCGTATCATGTGAATAGCAAGCTTTCCCACACGTTGGACGAATCCTCAAGCGAGATCCCACGTTGCGGTTCAAAAATCATTCCCAGATTCTGGGCCGACATCATGGAGCGGAAAAATGTGCGAGAGCGTAACTCAAGGTTCGTACCAAGGTCTAATGCGTAGATATACACCCTTGAATCAATGTGAGTTTGATATGAACAGTGATGCTAGTTCGCGACGACTTACCTTCAATGCGGCTCTTGCAGCCTCTCGAGTGTCCCCATCATTCTTAGAAACAACACAGGAGAAGCCGATGCGCCTTTCCCACTCGACCCAAGGAAGGAGCGCAGGGAGCCATGAGACAGGCTATGCTTGAACTCACTGAGATATTTGACCACGACAGACAATTTCATAGCTGTGAGTTCTGCCAGCTCAGATCGAAACACGTCGCCGTCCTCAACGGCCGGTGTGGTGACGCAGTTGCGATATACGCCGAGAAACGTTTGACCGCGGCCGTTGGAAGTGAGGAGGTGCGGGTGCACGAAAAATCGGTATGGCTTGGAGACATAGATAACGCGAGGGTGGGCGAGCGAGTTGTCGGCAGGGATGTCGGGGTGGGAGAGGTCGAGGCCAATGCGAGGGGAGCGGTATAATATAGGAGGCATCGCGTCTGGCTTTGGCGGGATACGTTTCAGTGCCAAGGTCACCTTCCGCGCGGCATCGGAAGGGAAAGCGGATATGTCGCCGTTCCAGCGGTCCTCGACAAGTTCGGCTATGCTCGCAGCGTGGCTGATACGGAGCACCTCGTCGACGAGGAGAGAGGGGCCGGAGATAACTTTGGAATCAGACACACGGCGGACAGTGCGCAGGAGGATGCCGCCGCGGACGGTGGGGGAATGGGGATCTGCAGAAGTCGAGACTGGCGGAGGGAAGTATGCGGACGTACGAGATGGACTGGCACCCAGCGTCAGGTCGAGCCCTTTGCGCGTGCCGCCCCTGTAGCCGCCTGCAGCGGTGGCTAAAGTGGCCGTGCTTTGAGAGCGGCGGGGAGCACGGTGGAAGTACCTATGTGTTTTAGTTTTCTTGGTAGGTCTACAGGGTTTCGCATCATCCAGGAGTGTAAGGACGCACCATTGACCACTTCTGCTCTGCTCTTCGCTAGCGTGGGTGAATGGGTCTTCGTGGCATCCGGCCTTGTAGAGGTAGAACTCGACCTCCATAATGTCGTATTCCGCGGAAGAGCCACCGTAGCTGGCGACGAGGCGGTGGTCGTGCAGGAGAGTTCTTGCAATGCACTCAAAGCGGTCTGCGAGCACTGCATCCGTAGAAATAGAGGTACAGTCAAGAAGGTCGATCAAGTCAGAGGAAACGGCTGGGCTACTTGCATCTGGCGCAGTGTCGCCGACCAGTCGCTGCCTCTTCTCTTTGGACAGCGACGGGGCATTGGTGTCGACTGGCTGTTTTCGCTTTAGAGTGTCTGCCATATGTGCAGCCGACAGACTTGGGCAAGGGCCCTGTGGTTACAGTACCCGGTTCCATACGGCGAGTGACCGTGATCACATGGCTGTGACCGGCCGCGCTCAATTGGAGAAAATCATATATTACAGAGCCGCCCTTTGGTCGAACACACCAGAGAGAAATACAAAATGAACGGAGAAGCACAGTTCGAGGCACGGTCTCAAACCCCCTGCTGCTGTTCCGCAAGGAGAGCAATACAAGTATTCAGACAGCGCTCGTCAAAACTAGTTCATTCAAGTCAGCAAGTTCCGAAGTGGGTGTGCAACAATATGAACTGACTTACGATGTCCGAATGTCTTCCTTGAATTTGCGCGCAGCTACCGGTCGTCTTTTCAAGATGACCTTATGAGAATCCCCAATGTCCTCGCTGATCTAGTGTAATGGCACTTTAGATACAGGCTACCATAGTTGTCCATCTCCATCTCAAAGCAGCCGCCGTTCGTCACTGAGCCCAGGATCCATCTTGTAAATATGACCGTAAATTGTGTTAAGAGCAATGATATTGATGTCATGGCTGCCAAAGGATGAATGTTTTGAGTATTGAGTGGAATGACGCAAGCTAGATCTCCATCGCCGATCCAGTGTGATCCAATGCGAAAAGCGCGACCATGCCCCTTAGTGTCCTCCGTAGCATCCTCCACTCTCGCATCTTGTATTTGTTCTACGCGGCTACCTTTTCAGGCCCATCCTGACGAACGCGTGTCTGGTCTCGAATGTCGCAAGCGGATAGAGTGTAAATACCTCGCTGTAGGATATCAGACACAGGCTAGGTTACAACAAAACATTATCGAGCCAGTACCATAAGCATTCTTCATCTAACTCACTTGGATGAAAAGTTAGAATAGCCTCCATAGGGCCACGTGCAGCAATCATCAGCTGTACTTCAAGCCCTGTATCGGGATCTCGATTTCTTGACGAACGTGAACATCGCAGCGATGTCATGCATGGAATACCGGTTCTCAACGGCGCAAAACCAGAGAGTAGGATTAGCCAAACAATCATTCAAACTCTGCTGTGGATTGGGCTAAAATTCATATCCTGTCCCCACCATCTAGGCACTAACATCTCGCCGCGAGTCCGTGGGCACGTACAGACCCAGGTCAGATCCGGGATAGCTGTTGAAGAACTGTAGTGCGGCAGAGCCAGAGATCTAGGCCCCTGTGCGCACCTGAAGAGAGCGAAAAGCAAGAGCATCGTCGAAGAATTGGGACAGAGGGCGATCGATGTCGAAGGCACGGCAGATCCGAGTCTCAGCCTTGATCTACAACACCGGGAACCCCTCAGTCTGCTTTCCTTCTTGCCGGTCATCGAGGATGATTCAATGTTGCCGTTCCCGTAAATTAATGCTTGTAGTATAATGCCGGGCCATTGAGTACATTGAACGTGTTTATAATATACTGACCTCTGAAAGAAAGTAACGATCAGTATAGTGAGGATACCCAAGTCCTAGGCGAACCACGCCAAGTCACCGACCAGCGCATCGGGCGGATGCACGACGCGATCGACACGGCTCACCAACCGTCTCCCGCCTCTGCGTGGCGCAGCCATACATGGCGGACTCCTGCCTGTGCTTACCGCGTCAAAACAGCGCTCTGTTAGGACTCTGAAGTTGATCGGGTTAGAGAAACAGCTCTATTACTTGCATCAGCTAGCAGAGTGGGTCGTTGTAGTCGACCAGTCGCCGGGTGCATCAACGTAAACAGGTTACTAGTGTCAGGCCTCACATTCTGCCGATGGAAGGAGAAGTGTCGCGAGCCCGACGTGCGTGACAATGATCACATGCCCGTGACTGGTCGCGCTGAACGAGCTGCCAATGAAAAAATATTCGGATAAACTGAGTCACTTAGTACAGCCTTACAAGAAGATTTGCAGCAAGTCTGGGGCGACATACCCACAATGGATAATAGAGAGCACTGTCTGAATCATGGTCTCAATCCCCCCTGTCGAAGCCCCTGCAGGACGACAACGGAGATGTCGAGACAGCAGTCATCAAAACTAAGTTCATATAAGATGGATGAAAGAGAGAAGTAGTAATAGAGGCAGGCTTACTATTGCTGGGATTCAGGGTCCTCGGGGTTCCCTTCAGACAATAATTGATTCAGGACCAGATTGAGCACTTCGCAGATGTGACTGTCGTGGACGACATATTGGTACCTCAAGTTCTCACTTCCAACGACCTCTACCCTCATCCCCATCCCCATCCCCATGCCGAACTGAGGATCACCATACTCAAGGGACCAACATGTCAAAATAACCGCATCTTGCATCAAAGGATATGATGTTTTTGTCATGGAGGGAGGCTGGATGTTCTGGGTATGACCCAGCTATCTCCATCGCCGATCCAGCGCGGCCCGGCGCGGAACATGCGATTTTTTTTTGTTCTGTCTGTACTTGGGTATTTCTCTCAGCATCTTCCACCCTCGTGAACCATATTCATTTATCGCCGATTCTTGTTTAGGCCCATCCGTAGCACAGACTAGGGATAGCCGACCTTCAAAAGTTGCACACGGATAAAGTGAAAATGCTGAATTCAGCGACATGGAAATACTAAATGTCACGTACTTGAATGAAAAGAGAGAATGATATCTATAGAGCAGTGGGACGCAACGATCAGCTGCACCTGTAGCTCTTTGTTGAGTGCCGTCTCCTTGACGAAGGTAAAGGCAGCGGCAACGCCACGCATGATGTATATCCCATCACGGACGAGAATTCGATAAATCAGAAGCAGCAAGGGAAAATGTGGGTCTTGTTTGCTATTCGGTTTGAATTTGTAACCCGCCTCTAACAGCCAAATACCGACTTCTGCCCGCCAGCCCATGTGGACGTAGAGATCCAGGTCGGATTGAGGATAATGTGATCTATCAAAGAACTGAAGAGCAGTGGAGCCAGATATGAGGGTACCTGTGTACGCCTTCAATGAACGAAAGGCAGGGACATTGTCAAAGAATCAGAACAGATGGCGGTCAATGTTGAAGGGGCAACGAGTATAACCTTTCACGGCAAGGTGTGCGTCGCGGCATGTCCTCTAAATTCGAAATATGCTACTTTGAGTGCAGGAAAAAAAGGTGATCCGAGAGAAGATCGTTGTTGATAATTTTCCGCAGGAAATGATTGTTCAAATTGAGAGACGGAGATGAAGCCAGCTGAAAGACGCAAGCTTCAAGCGAGCTTTCGCGCTGTGGACGAGGCGTTAGGCTTGACCGTGTTGACGCACCGCGCGTTTCCATGCACGTGACCGTGTTACACACAACATAGGTGCCGCCAAATTCACGAGTTTATTCATGACTGTACACCGAAGCAAGCAACAAGCCCACGGACAAACATATCACGACCTCAGTTTCGCCAGCTGTCTCCGTCCGCGATCCAGCGCTGCCCGAGGCGAAAGGTGGGGTTGCTCGCGCTGCGCTGCATCGCGGGGAGCTCGCTGACCATTTCCCATCCGCGCGTGGCGTACTTGCCGATGGCGGATTGCTGCCTGCGCCCGGCGCGCGAGCGGATGAGTGCCTTGCGCTCCTCGAACGTGGCGCGCGGGTAGAGCGCAAAGGCTTTGTCGTAGGCGATCACGTTCATCACACACGCTGGACGGCAGGTCAGCATCGTGCTCAGCGTGACGCCCGTGTTCGCCGTGCTTACTAGAGTGGAAGGCGAGGACGATCTTCATCGGGGTGCGCCGGGCGACGATGAGTTGCACTTTGCGGTTCTGGCCGGGAGACGCGCGGATGAAGGTGAAGACGGCAGCGATACCGCGCGTGTCGTAGTTCTCCGGGCGGGGCGTAGATGCGCTCGTCCATCACGGCGATGTCGAAGAACGGGTCCTGCACGGAACTCGGCTGGAAGTGGTAGCCCGACTGCATCATCCAGATTCCCACCTCGCGGCGCCAGCGGAGGTGGACGTAGAGATCGAGGTCGGACTCGGGATAGCACGTGCGGTCGAAGAACTGGAGCGCGTTTAAGCCTGAGATCAGGGACCTTGTGCGGGCCTGCAGAGAGCGGAACGCGGAGATGTCGTCGAAATAGCGGGAGAGGTGGCGGTTGATGTTGAATGCATGGCGCGTGTACTCTTTGGCGGCGTACAAGCCTGCACGGCACGTCTTAGCTATACGATAGATATGTGCGGGAGAGCAGCAAGAGAAGATAATGTCGGTGAGGAGGTCGTTGGTTAATATGTTTTCTGCAAAGACATTAGGCATGATCGATGGTTGCTACACCGAAGTATCAGCGCGATCGTATTCGATGAACCAGAGTCTTACTCACTCAGTGGGTGAAATACGGCGCGGGCAATTCACTAGCGGCCAACTTGGCCTCGTGTCTGCGGTGATGGTCAGTGCACGCGACGAGGCGAACTTCAAACCAAGGTTATCGGCTGAGAAGCACAGGATCACACGTGACGACCCTGGATGGAAGCGAGAATAATGCATTTTCACCAGCATTAGATATATATACAATGGCCGCAGACGACACCGTATCACAGGACTTAGCTCTTTTCCTGAATGCCTGAATCCGCCTCTATATCAATCACTTGAACCTCGTCGTCATCATCACCGTCCGGCGCGTCTTCGTCGGGCAGGATCAGGTTCAGCACCAGCGCGACGATGCCAGATACTAAGACTGCAATTGACGGCAAAAGACATCAACAGCTATATACCCCTCGATGGCATCGTAAATCTCACATGGTGTGCTCAGGATGATTGTGATCGAGCTGAAAAGGCCTTGCAGACCGTTGTTTGCATTCTTGACGCCATCGAAAAGGTACGTGAAGATATCAGGGACGAGCAGGTCGCCAAGGCCGAAGGACAGCGCAGCCGCGAGAATGAACCGGTCTCGTCGTGTAAAGCGAACATACGAGAGCACCCTGACGCCGGAGACAGCGACGCTCGCGAAGAGGAACGTGGTTACTCCGCCAAGAACGGGGTTCGGAACTACGACGGACAGGTCAGATGGGACACTGGAGGCATGGAACCGGTGCTCACTCGCGAGGAAGACGCCCGAAATCTTGCCCAGGACGCCAAAAAGGATGAGGAAGAAGCAGCAGAACCGCCCAGCAGTGCGGTTGGCACACCGGGTGACCGCTATGACGCCGTTGTTCTGCACCCAAAGTACTTAGCCGAGATGCATCGCAGGCGAAACTGTCCGACTTGCCTGTGCGAAAAGCGAGAGGGGGGCAACCGTGAAGAGCGCTGACATGAATCCGCCCACGCCGTCACTCTGCGGATAGAGATGAGTGGCATATTCTCTGAGGCCATCAGCAACACTTACCAGGACTCCGCCCTGAATACGGGTATCGAACTCCTCGCCATCGACAGCCACACGAGAGACCTCTGCGGACGCAGTGATATCCCCGATCGCTTCCATGGCAACTGAGACTACAAGAAGCCCAGAATTAAGAACATAGGAGCCGCCGCAGACTCAGGACGCACTGTATACAGCAAGCATAGGCAAGATCGCAGGCGGGTAGACTCTGATCTTGAACGTGTGTACCCTGGGGAAGACTCGTCGGCCCACATTGTCCCACGAACATATAGTGAAAGAACGCACCACAAGAACGTGATCGCAGGCGCAGAAGTGATGGTGCTCCCGTCCATGTATCCTGCTGCGCCGGACACAATGCACCCCACCGCCAAGCCGACGATGATCGAGACGTTCTTGAGGAACGGAGAGCCGAACAGTTCCGTAAGGATGATGCTGACGAAGGACAGGAAGCCGAGGCCGATCATCTCAGGGGAGCCCCAGCTGGGATTTCATTCGCGTTCAAAGTCAGCGACGCGAGGGTGCGGTACGAGGGTTAGGAAAGCGCGCACTCACAGAGCGGGCTTGGGGGCGGTGATGTCGGGACACATCTGGTAGAGACCCGATGCCGGGCGGGCCTGGCAGTTGGATCCGCCTCCCCAGTCCGATATCCCGGACGAACCGACCAGGGATGCGCCGATCATGAGAATGACGGTGCCTATAGAACGCGGCAGGGTCATCAGGGCGGAGAGGATTGGGATACCGGGGTGCCGAGGCCGAGGGCAGCGTACCTGTGACCATGGGCGGGAAGACGCGCTTCAGGATGCGGATGGGGACGAAGGACATGAAGATCTCGAGGAAGGAGCAAACGAGGGAGGTGCCTGGGCGGACATGAGCTCGGACGAGAGGAGGGATGCGGTGAGGGACACACCGAGGACCATGCCGTACGCGTCGGGACATGCGCCCTTGGTGACCGTCCCGTCTGGCGCAGTGGTGGAGGGGCAGGTGCCGTCGGCATACATGGCATCAAAGATCTGCAAGGGCCATGGGATCAGGAAGTGTGTGCGGGCTGGGGTGGCGACTTACGGCACTCGCAGTGCTGAGAGTAGCGAAACTCGTCCCCACCACAGAGAGAAGGCCGGTGCCGAGATAGTAATTCCTGAAGAGCCTGATGCGCGACATCTGCACCAAGCTGAGGATGCCTGTGGTGTGGTTAGCAGGCGCGGGAAGGACGCGGAGCAACAGACGGCGCACCAGACCCGATGAGAGATGCGGAGATCATGTAGGCCGAAAACGAGCTGTCGAGGTTGAGCGAACTGGCGAAGATGATGGGAGGCGTGATGAGACCGGCGAGCATGGCGAGGGCATGTTGGAGGCCGCTGGTGAACGAGAGCAAGATGGGCAGCTCGGAGTCGAGGGCGTAGAACGGGGGGGAGCGTTTGCGCTGCTTGCCCTTTGCGCCGCGCCGGGAGACGGAGAAGGGGAGGGTCGGGGTGCAGAGCCAGGCATAGTCGTACTCACCGACCCAGCCGTGCTTGGTCGTGAGCTTGTCGTAGACGTGGGCGGCATGTGACCGGATGAGGTGAGAAGTGGTCGGACGAGGGTCGGGAGAAGGAACAGGGCCCGGTTGGTCCTTCACAGACGATTGGTCGAACATGGCGGCTGAGCGCGACGAGTGGTGGGAGACAACCAAAAGCCGTGCAGACACTGCGGTCGTCGTGCAGCCGGGTCGCTGACTCGAACTACAGTTATCAGCATCAGAGCGGAAAAATTGCAGCCTGGGGACGGTGGCATTGGCGCGCAGAGATAAGTGCAGCAACGCTCCAGAGCAGTGAGGAGACAGCGGACTAGGGCGTCCGTATCTTATCACAACACGCTCACGTGGGAACCCGACCGCAAAACATATGCATCTGCATCAGCGACAACGACGAGCTCGACAGCGCACCGGCAGCTTGCTCCAGACGTTCTCGACCACACTCACCAACCTGCACGGTCCGCGTCTGGTTCCTCCTAGCTGGCGATTGAGACTTGACAGTGATGCGGCTGCCGAGGGCTGGCATGCACACCGTCTCTCGATACCACGTGCAGGTAAGCTGACCTGCGCCTACCGCCTAGAGCATCGATGTTGAGAAGGACAGGGACGAGAGAGGGGCAGTACTCAAATATAAGGTACAAGGTTGACTTTGAAAAGTGCAGAAGGACAAAGCCGAGGTGCCTCTTTCAGGCTGCCTGCGACGAGGATGATTGCGGGTGAGATCCGTTGCAATTATTGGAACCGTTTGACTCTGGCCAAACGCTGGCTATAGCCCAAGCCCAGGCCTGGCAGGACGGAGGAATGGATCTGATGGTTTTCAGAACGAGGGCTGCTTGCGATCCAACCGCGCTGCCGGGAACTCTGTCTTCCGGCCTCGAACCAACGCCTAGCTAGCAGGCTGTCTTCCAGCATGCATTATCTTTCTTCTCCTCGCCTTGGACCTGGGACAGCCGCCGCAGAGCAGCCTATCAGCGCACTCCTTCATGTCAAAATCCTCGGCTTCTGATTCGTCTGCCTCAGGTCTGAGCTGATGGAACGGCGTTGCGCTGTGGGTCGGCAGCTCTACCTCCTCACTTTCTTTCCGTCTTTCTATCCACCTATCGCTCGTCGTTCACACCGACTCACTGCTCGGTCGGCCGAGCCCTGGCCCTCTTTGCTGTCATGGTCGCCTATTTCGTGATGGGCACTCACCATCCCAAGGCTGCAGTGTCATTTTCCGCGCGTGGATCAAATGAACCTCTCGTAACGCGCTTATCCATATATGACTTTAGACCTACGCACGGCGCTCAACTGACACCGTGGCTAGCCGCGAAGCTTTCCTCAAATACTTGCGACGCATTTCTGCACGCCTCCTCTAATTGTTTTCGATTGCTTCCCGTTGTAGGCCCCGGGTGCAGTCTTTTTCTCTAACTATTGCAAGTCTATTAGGCATCTTCCCCTGCATATGGAGAACATGTCTGATGTCGAATCACAGGGTGTGTTCTCCTCGAGCCACCAGACGTGGGGCGCCATTCTAGGCTCTAGAAGCACCTCACCCATCCCGATGGGTCGGAAGAATCTCCCGCATGACAAAAATTGCCGCCGACATGCCTTCGACGTGTACATGTGTGATCGTTATTCGCCGAGGCTTGTGCGGCGGCTGCAAACCTGGGGTGACCTCATCTGGCCCCCCGTTCCATATTCACAGAGCGCCCGTCCAGCCGTGTGGTACGGCGCACTCAAGCTGCCTGCCAGAATTCGAAGCCCACGGCTCAGATTCAGACTTGAACCCTTGAACCCTGATCATCGTCCTCGTGGCCCGCGATGGCACGTTCCTGCATGTAAAGTCACCCCTTAGGCTCTCGCCCCCGATCAATGGGGTTGATTTGAAGCCAATCGACCGCAAGATCGTGCAGAGGGCAGATGCGCAACGGTGACATTGCTATCTGGGGCGAGACGCCGCCCGGCCCATTTGCGCTGCTGGCAATCCTCTGGGGAGCAGCCCAAACGCATCCCGCTGCTGTGTCACCCCAGATGCCTGATGTCCTGCGTCTCCTCCGACGCACTAAGGAACTGTCAGAGGATGCGATTTCGAGCACAGACGGTCATCACTCACTCCCGTGTCTACTCAGGTCCTCGGTTGCCACCTGAGTATATCAGCTACAGAGCGCTGGGGGCTCTCGTCCGGCGCTTCTTTCAGCTGCTCCATCGTGACTTTTTGTTGGCCGTGTAAGCAACATTTTTCATTGATGGCGCGAGCCAGGTATGTTCGCCACCGGCCACGGCACCTTATCAGTTGTTGCTTATGGAAATTGATGGCCAGTGACGCCGCAGCGCCCTGCAGGAGGAGCCAGAGTGACTTTGGAAATCACTCCCCGATTTTGTGGGACCGGTCCGCGCTAGATGTCCGTCCTCAGATTCCACTGAGTAGGTACAGTATCTCGGGCCTTCGGATTTACGACAACCTCGCTTCCATGCACGACCACTGGCTAATGTGACTCTCTGCATAGCTACATGTCAGCGCGCAGACCCGCCGGCGGGGCGGGACATCACACCACAGTGGGGGTTCGGGGACAGCCTTCGTGTTTAGCTGGTTTACACGTCTGTCAAAAAACTTCCGCACAGTCAGTGGAAAAGCCCTCGTCGAGAGCGCTCACTATGTGTCCAATCAAAGCGACCGTAAGTGGTGTTTGTCCTCGGGCGCCGCACAGAGAACGTATGGAGTGGTACGCCGTGATTCGAGGTGTACCTCTGCCCGCAGCTGCGACGGAGTCCGAGGAGGTGTTGTCGCCCGGGGGCCCATCCGGGGCCCTGCAAACGACGGTGAGTTCCGTCTCACCGCATCTGCATGTGGCCTAGGAAAAGGGGGGGACGAGACTAGGGATGGCTCTGATACGGTGTGCAGGCGCTACGCCTTGCCCAACGTGCGTCTCTGGACCCTCTGTTGACGCTGGACGGCGATTGGGGATTGGAAAGAGAGGCAAGCAGACCGCCAGAATGGGCTCGGGTGCTGCGACCGGCGCCCCGCCCAGCGTCGGGATTGGGGCCGCATCGCTCTACGCAGCCGGCGGCGCGCCCTGCGGTAGCCTTTTGCGGCGCTGGGAGATCGCGCGGGCTAACGTCGGCATACGCCAGCGATCGGTGATGGCGGCCAGCGCTGGACATTGAATGGGAAGGCCGTGTCCGAGCCCGAATAATGTCGCCCTACCTTGGTTACCAGGTCCGCGATCTTGGCTTCCCAGCCGGTACTCGGCAGCTTTCCGCGCCAGGCACTGTGGAGCGCAAGACGAGTTGTGGCTGGAGAACACGCCCGACCGACGGAGACTGGACTGGAGACTGCACACGAACACGCAGGTGCGCCTAGCTCCCTTTGGCCGCTCCTCGTCTAATTTGACTTTCAACATGTCGGTATCGGCCTCAATCTGCTGCGTCTCTTTCGCGGGCGCGCAATCATAATCTGGGCACAGGAAATACAATGGATTGGGCCTATGATATCCATCGCGTATGTCCGACGACGGCCGGTCTGACGCCCCACAGCGAAGCGTGCGTTGGAATCTGCTCCACCATGAGCCGTGGCCTGACAGCTTTCGTTGGCTGGGACGCCTGTGAGTGGACGCGATAAGCATAAGCTTTCCCCACTGCGCTAGAAGCGCCTCCCCAAAGATAATCCGGCATTGATTGGGAGCCTAACCTACTCGCACTGCGCGAGTTCGCCGCCCTCTCGAGCGAGCAGCGCTGTCGTTGCCGGTCACGCGTAGCGCGCACACACCTTGCCAACTGGGCGCAAAGAGGGGAGCAGGTACGTCGAGGCACTCGTGACTGATGTATGCGGAACAGATCCGGACAATTGTGCACTGCGATGCGGCGGCTGGGGAGCACAGGAGACCGCGGTATCCTAGGAATGGCGTCGATCTGCAAACGGATTATGGTGTGATAACTAGGGGGGGGACGATGTCCGGACGGTCTAGACCACGGGGAGGTTGTAGTGGGAGAGAAGGAGAGCATGATGCACGAGCGGGATTCTTACTCTCTCTCTCTCTCTCGCACCGTCGATTGCCGAAGATTTGTGGGCCGCGGTCAGGATCTCTATCCAGACAAGCATCCGGGCATTTGCAAAACAAGGAAAGAGGCGTAGGAGGACGAACTCAATCTCGAGGATGGCGTGAGATCGCGGATATGATGTTGCCTACCATGTCTGCCGACCTCCGAAGGCGATGATGGAGGATATGAGCGGGACGAGGGCGCTGAGGCTATCTATACCAAAAAGCAGGGCAGTGCGTGCAGGAGGGTGGGGGAGGGGGGG